GCGGCGATGGGGGCTCGGCTCTCCCACCGGAACTGGATTCTCGGGTCATGAAACTTGACAGTGCAGTTCATCTTGAGGCTGTTGACAGGCACCTGAAAGACTTAAGGACAAGAATTCTTCTAGGCAGTTAAAAACAAACAAACAAAAACAAACAAAAAATAAAAACCAGCCACATTTCCAGGTCTCTCCCCTGGAAGACCAGAGGGGCACTGGTTTCTGGGGTGGGGGCAGGGTGGGCTTGTAGCGCTCGTCTTTGTGCTCTCAAGGAGCCAGCAGGTGCCACAAAGCACTACACGAGGGAGCAGTCCGAACGGAACCTCACGTGAGCCGTGAAGGAGAGAATTCCATGCAGGAGTGAGTTGAGGGGCGCACAGGAGGCGTCCAGGGCAACCGAGGTGAGTGGGCGAGGGAGGAGGGGCTCGGTATTAGTTGTCTTTTGCTGGGTAACAAATTACTCCAGAACAAAGATCCATTGCCTCGCAGTGTCTGAGGGGCAGGAGCCCGGGGGCAGGCTGGCTGGCTGGCTGGTTCTGGCTCTGGGCCTCTCACAAGGTTGTAGTCAAGATGATGGCCAGGGCTGTGGGCATCTGAAGGCCTGACCAGGGCTGAAGGATGCATTTCCAAGATGGCTCCCTCACAGGTGAGCTCAGTTCACTGCCACGTGGACTTCACAGAACAGCATACGGCATGGCTACTGACTTCCCTCCAAATGAACGATGAATGGGTGGGGCGGAGAGGAAGGGGGGGTGGAGGGAGAGGGAGAGGGAGAGAGGGCACGTGGGCACACCGTCAGACGAAGCCCCAAAGTGTTTCACAGTCCAGTATCAGAGGTGACACACCTCCGCCCCTGCATCTCCCTCCGTCCTACAGACTCAGCTGGTTCACGGTGGCCAGAGTGCCACAGGGACCTAGGAGGCGTGGGTCACTGGGGGCCATCTTGGAGGCTGGCTGTCACAGGCTCCAAGAAAAAAACGAAATTCATAGATGGCCTGATGTTGTTATGTGCCAAAAAGAGATTTATATTTCCATCGTAGGGTCGGGGGATAAATAAGTGATGGGTACGTAGAAAATTAGCCAGACCTAAAACATGAGGCTCTTATTAAGTCCAGGAGAAACAACAGGTTGTACAGGAGATGTGACTACAATACATTCTCAGCTGTGAATAGCATGTGCACAGCAATAATGATGCACCCACTGAATTCCGATTCAGCCCGAATGAGAAGTCGGGGGGCAGGAAAGTGCGTGTGTGGGAGACTGGGAGGGGCTGCGTGAGGGATCAAACTCTCAGCCCCCACAGCAGGAAGTCAATGGATAATTTCTAAATCTTAAAAACAAACGAAAAACCCCCACAACATTGGCATGCTATTTAGAAGTAAATACAAACAAACAAACAAAACCCAAACAGACTGGAAAAAATGTTCACCTCCGAGATGGGAACTGAGGGGCGTGGAGAGCGGGTGAGGGGCGGCGGGCTCCCAAGGCTCTTGCAGACTTGTGCGGAACACTGGAGCCTGCTCCTCACTCCCAGCTCTCTGCAGGACCCCTGCACCCTGGGGAGAGCCTGGGCAGCTGCGTCCTCTCCCAGGGCAGGACTCCCTCGCCCTGGGGTTTGAGCCTTCCCCAGCCATGGCCCTCTGCTGCCTCCCCCAGTTTGCCTGAGTTGCCGCCAGTCTGCATGGCTATCCATCTCCGCCGTTAGCCTGCCTCCCCTGCCCCTTCCTCGCTCTTCTCCCGGAGCCGAGCCGGACAGAGGGGCCCAGCTCTGTCGGCAGCAACAGCTGTGCCCTGGCCCCTCTGGCCTGCACTCCCCACCTGCCCCCAGCGCCACGCACAGCGGTAGGAAACTGGGAGAAGTTGCTCCTGCTGCTTTGGAGGTGAACTGGGGACAGCGGGCCTCGCTCCATCATTTCCAGACACCTCGCCTAATTACCGGCGTGCTATTCATTTGAATGTCAGCGCTGCCGCATGCCTGTGCCTTTAATTAATAATTTGGTAAAACTCCGCACAGGACCTGGCCAGGCCAGTGCAGCAAGGACTGCTGGGGCTGGGCCGAACCTGGGGCTGTGGGCCAGACCGACGGGCACCCCTCCCCATGCTCCCACCCCCAGCAAGTGCAGAGGCCTTGGGCTGGAACCCAGGGCCCTGGTCCCTTGTCCCCAGCCCAGCTGTCCTCACCAGGCCTTGAAGCCACAGGTGCAGCCGCTTCAGGGACCCTTCCAGGAGGGGGCGGGGAAACAGACCCTGAGGTATGTGTGGGCACCTGGACTGGGGCCGAAGCCAGGGGATTGGCTCCCCTGGGGTCCAGGAGGAGGGGTGAGGTGTGGAGGGGCCAAGGAGCCCAGCTCACACCCAGGCTCAAATAGGCCAATGCTTGTGGCCTGAGGAGAGCAGGCGGGGGAGGGGTTCTTGGGACAGCTAGGGTGGGGGCTGGGCCTCTTCACAAAGGGCCCCTCCCGGCCCTGAGAGTCCTCTACTCCAGGCCTTGAGGGGCCAGGGGGTGACCTGCAAAGGCCAGGGCTGACTCCACACCCCGGGAGCCTCCCGCGCCCAGCCCCTGGGCAGGGTAGGGACTTGCCGAAGAGGCACAGAGGCTACCAGGTTAAGTGGAAAATCTATTTGGATCCAACTTGAATTATTGAGTGGTTCGGGACTTATTCCTGGCTCCCGGGCAGACTGTGCTCTGTGAAGACACCACCTCAGCCCTATTTTTAAGGTTCTATGAGAAGGAGCTGCCACCGTACTTAGGACCTCCACAGGCCCTTTAGAACCCGGGTGGGGGGCAGGGCAGAGCAGGGTGGGGAGCAGGGTTTGGGGGGGGAGGGGTGTGCCACTCTGAAGCCCCCTCCCCCACCGTGACCCCGCTGCTTTATGGGTCTCCCATGAATGACCCCGGCCAGCAGATCCAGGCCCCACCCACACCCCACCACCACCCCTCTACTTGAACCCCCAGCTGGCCCACCCCCACCCCTTGACCCCTGCTCCCCCACATCTGGCTCCCTCTGAGCAGCTCTGTGTTGAATCCACGCCCTCTATGTGGGCCAGTCTCAGCAAGCCACTGAAGGGCTCTCTGTTCCTCTCCGATGCGGCCATGGTGTGGCCACAGGACAAGGCTGAGGGGTCTGTGGGTTCCCTTCCCTAAGGCTGTAGGCTGAGCCCTCCTCACCAGCCTTCCCTGCCAAGCTCGACGCCCACGCTGGGTTATACACAGCCTCTGCTGCCTGCCAACTGAGCTCCCAACCCCACTCCCCTGAGGCCAGGCTGAGGACTTAGTGGGGCCGTAACTGGTTTCTGATGGGGTTGGATTTGCACCCCTGGGGGCCTGCCTGCTTGTGGGGAGCTGGAAGCACTTGAAGGCGGATGTGGGTTGAGCCCTGACCCTCTGGTTCTTGAAGCGGACTCTGCCTTCCCCTCCCTCACTCTAAGCCCAGGGTCATTGCTGGGGAATCTTGGGGGTGGGGAGAGGGCTCCTTAGAAACCCCTCGCAACCAGAGACTGACCCAGAAAATGAACTCAAATTACTGAAATCAGGAAAGAAAGTGGGGACACGACCACATTTGCAGAAATAGAAAATATGAATTGTAGGCCGACTCATTAGATAATCTGGATGAAATGGATAAATTCCTAGAAACACACAAACTACCAACTGATTCAAGAAGAAATAGAAAGTGTTCACAGACCTATAACAAATAAAGAGATTGAATCAGTAATCGATTGACCTCCTGACAAAGGAAAGCACGGGGCCAGATGGCTCCACTGGTGAATTCTACCAGAGGCTTCGACAAGGATCAACACCAATTCCCCTCAAACTCTTTCAAAAAACAGAAGAGGGGACACTTCCCACTGTTCTATGAGGCCAGCATCACCTGCATGTCGAAGTCAGAGAAAGATATCACGAGAAAACTATAGACCAATATCGCTTATGAATATAGTCACAAAAATCCTCGACAGAATATCAGCCAAGTGAACGCAGCAGCACCTAAGAGGATTATAATGCACCATGACCAAGTGGGATGTAGTCCAGAGACACAAGAGGGGCTCAGAATGTGAAAACCGACGACGTAATACACCACATGAATAGACGAAGGACGACAACCATTTCCACAGGTGCAGAAAAAGCATGCGACAAATCCATCACTGATAAAGACACTCGGCTAACCAGGGATAGGAGAAAACTTCCTCCAACTGACCCCGGGCATCTCGGAAAAGCCCACGGCTAACGTCTCACTCAACGGCCAAGGACCGAAATGTTCTTCCCTAAGGTCGGGAACGAGACAGGATGTCCCCTCTCTCCACCTCTGTTCGGCATGGATCTGGAGGACCTGCTCAGGGCAGCTGGGCACGAAAAGAGAGAAAAGGCACCCGGACTGGAAAGGAAGAAGCAAAACTCTCTCTATTCACAGATGACATGACCTCATGTACAGAAAAGCCTAAAGCACACGCACGTGCACGCGCACACACACGCACACACATGCACACACACAGTCGATGAGTACAGCGAAGTTGCAGATACAAGATACAAAAGTCGGTTGTATTTCAATACACTGGCAATGAACAATCCAAAAATGAAATTAAAACAATTCCATTCACAATAGCATCTAAAATAAAACAGAGATAAACTTAACCGAAGGAAATGCAAGACTTGTCTATTGAAAACTACAAAACGTCGTTGAATGAAATGAAGATCTAAATAAACAAAAAGACACCTCATGTTCAGTGACTGACTTAAAATTAAGATGGCAATGCTCCCCCACATTGATTGGTGCAATCCACACCAAACTTCCAACTGCCTTTTTTTGCAGACATGGATCAGCTGGTTCTAATATTCACAGAGAACTGCAAAAGATCCCAAAAAGCTACCTACAAAAATGAACTGAAAACGGGTCAAAGATCTAAGCGTAAGAGCTGACACTCTAAAACCCTTAGAAGGAAACAGGAGAACTTGGCGACCTTGGATTAAGCAATGGTTTTTTCAATGACACCAAAAGCACAAGCAACCAATGAGAAGTAGATAAACTGGACTTCATTGGATTGAAAAACTTTAATGCATCAAAGGACATTATCAAGAAAATGGAAAGACAATCCAGAGAATTTATTTATAAATTATGAAATACAACTGATTTTTGAAAATGGTCTCATGTCCAGAACATGTAAAGAGCTCTCACAGCTCGACAACAACAAATAATCCAAGGATAAACAATACCCTTTTTAAAAGGACAAAAAATTTGAGCAGACACTTCTCCCAAGACGAACAAATGGCCAATAAGCACGTGCAAAGATGCTCAGCATCACTGGGTATCAGGGAAGTGCGAACCAAACCAGAATGAGATACCCTGGCACCAGCACTGGGTCGGCTGGAATCAGACAGACGATAACAAAGTGGGTGAGGACGTGGAGAAACAGCGACGTTGCGTTGCCGGTGGGGCCGCCGTGCAGAATGGCATGGCTACTCGCCAGCAAGTTAGTCGCCACGTGACCCAGAAAGTCTGCTCCTAGGCGGACACCCAGGAGAGGTAGAAACATAAACTCACAAACTTGTACATCAATGTTCGTAGCGGAATTATGAATAATAGCCCCAAAGAGAAACCACCCAAATGTCCATCCACATGATGAATGGATAAACACGTGGTCTCCCCGTACAGTGAACCACCATTCGGCCGCAAAAAGTACCGACACGAGCGAACCTTGAAACCATCGTGCTGAGGAGGGCGGCCAGGCAGGAAGGTCACACGCTGTGGGACTCGGGTCCTATGAGGTAACCAGAACAGGCAAGTCCAGAGACGGAAAGCCGATTAGTGGAGGCCAGGTTCTGGGGGTGGGGGGCTGGAGAGCAACTGCTGATGGGGACTTGCTTTCATTACCTGAGGCAGAGCAAAGTTCTGGAACTAGATAGTAGTGATGGCTGCACAAGATTTTGGATATACTAAAAACCACTTAATCGCACACTTAAAAACTGTTTAAAATGGTGACTTTTGTTATGTAATTTTAATCTCTGAACAAAAATTACCCAGGCAAGTCGTCTGCAAACTCATCTCCAGGCTCTGGCCTGCTCCTTGCTGGGGAGGGGTCCAAGGGGATGGCAGACCCCGCAGAAGAGATCATGTACTCTGCATGGTCATGCCTGTAGCCCGGGGGGCCCGCCTGACCCCCGTGGTCACTGAGGAACCAGTGGCTTTTAGCAGAAGCCAGCTCCTGCCCCCGTAGGCAGCCATGGCCACCTCCAAACATCCATCAGAGGTGGGTCCTGGCGGGGCACTGCTGCAGGCCCAGGGGGGGTGGCTGTGAGGTGGTCCAGCCCTTGCAGGCCTGCATTCTGGAGGCTGGGGGGACCTGGTAGATGAGGACCCCTTTACCTTCTGGTTCCCTCCTTCTCATTGATGGAGTAGGCACGGCCTCGTAGACGGATGGCCAGCAGCCCTGGCCTCTGTGGGCTCCACTTCTCCGAATGCTGTCACTCCCCTTATCGAGAAGTGCGTGCCAGGCTCTGTGCCCTGCCTGCTCCACACAGGGCACAGCTGTGTGATAAGGCAGGACAGGTGTCACCTTGGCTTTGCCAAGGCCAGGCAGCAGGAGACAGCAGGTAGAGATAGCTCCATCTTGTGCACCCAAGGGGCTCCGGGCAGGGGGCCCTGCGGCACCCCCTGCAGCCCCACTGTGATGAGCTGGGGGCTCAGCCCCAAGACTGGGAGAGTGAGAAAGAGGGGTCAGGGGACATCTGGGGAGGCAGTGCGAGCAGGGTGGGAGGTCGGAAGCCGGTCATTCTGGCCTACGGGAGTCCCCTCGCAGGCACCGTGGAACACGGCGGAACCTGCTCCCCACAGCGGGCCACTGAGTGGAGCCCTGTAAGCACCTGGTGGCCCAGCAGGCCCTCTGCACCTGGCATCAACTGGCATGCCTTGAATAGGGGCTGCTGCATGGAGTGAGGCAGCCCAGCCCTGCCTCACAGAGGGGCTGCAGGGGCTCGAGGGGAAGGGGGACAGCACCACTGGCCCAAACAAGTCTGCCTTGCTCACTGTCCCCTCTGCTCCTCCCAGGGTCCGGGCCCTGGAGAGCCCCCTTCTCATCACGAAGACACAGGAGGGGCAGATGCGCCGGCCTCCCGGGCTTCCGTCCCAGGCTGTCCAGCCCATGCCCAGCCCGTTCTTGGGAGGCAGGGTGAAGGACAAGGCCTCCTTTCAGCAGATTCCAGGCTCCTTAGTGAGCATGGGGGGCTGGAGGGCGAGGGCTGGGGCTGTGGGTGGAGCCCAAGCTGAGAAGTGGCCAGGACAGGGACACAGAACTTTTTGCACAGCAGGCCTCTGGGTAAGGAGGCGGGCAGCGGGGGGTGCTGTTTTGGCAGGACAGGAGGTGGAGCTCTGGGCCTTTGACCCTGTGAGGACTGCCCTGCGTGTCCCCTACCCTCAGGCCCTCTCCGGGCTGAGATGTCTTCCCTCACTCCGGCCCAGCTGCGCCAGCAGCAACAGCCTGGAAGGCGGGCTGGGCAGCCAGGGACCCAGCCTAACAGTGGCCAACGCCAGCTCGGACACTCCTGGGTCTGGGTGTAAGCAGCTCAGTGAGGCTGCGGGGAGGAGGCTGGTTTAAAAATGAACGGAAAGCAAAATCCCCATCAGCGGCACATGTACCTAAAGAAGACGGAGCAACAGCTGTGGACATATGCACGGCCTGCCTGCTGCTAGCCACCAGTGCACCTTCAGAAGAAACGAAAACACCCAGCCCCCACGAGCCCGCAATTCCCACCACACTGTTCTGGGCCTGGCGCTCCTTGGCACGAGGTCCGTCTTATGCTGAGGCTGCTCCAGGCCTCTTGACCGTGATCATGGAGGAGGGGCAGCCACACGGTCCATCGGAACTGTGCCCGCTGTGTCCTTGGAGCCTGGGGGTGCTGTTCAGGGATGGTTGCCCCGATACCTATAGAGCAGACCCTGGGGTTCTGAGGCTGGAGCAGGTGGCAGGTGGCCAGTCTTCAGGGTTTCCAGCTCCAGCCCTGGCCCTTGTCCTACTGCTCCTGGGCGCCTAGGTGAGGCTTCCGGATGTGTCCTGGGGCCGCGGCTGTGGGTGGGCTCTTCTGAGCCTCCCTGGGGGTATGTCTTTGGCCTCTGTGCTTTCTGGCTCCTGGTAAGGATATGGAGAAGGAGCAGCATCAAGCCCTGGAGTCCCCTTTGCTCACCACGTGGTCCCTGGAGGCTGCACTGATCTGGACCCTCAGGGGCTATGAGGGCCCAGGCCAAGTCGGCCTGCTGCAGGTGGCCAGTCCCCACCCCCAGGAGAGCTCTGGGGGCCCTGCCACACCTTCCCCCATTCACAAAACGGCTTAGCCAGGCCTCTGATGGCCACAGGTAATGCCCCTGGAGAATGAGTGGGGCCAAGTCCCTGGCTGGGGGTCAAAGGCCAGGCTCTGAACCCAGGCTGCCAACTGAAACCGTCGGCTACTCAGCAATGCTCTGCCTCAGTTTCCCCATCTGCAGAGTGGGTCGCAGTGCCTGTCATGGCACAGTACCGTCAGGATTAAATAACCAGTCACTGCAGGTGGTGACTACGCATGTCGGCTTTTCTCACAGAAACCGGGAGAGTAGGAATCACTGTCCCTGCCACACAGACGAGGAAACCGAGGCTCAGACATTGTGAATGACACAGTTGGTCATCCAGCCAGGAGGCGAGCTGGCCCCTCGGACCCCCCAAAGCCCTGTGGGCCTCACCCCAGCACCTCACAAGTATGTGGCCCAAGCAGGTGGGGCTGACCTGCAGGGGGTGGGCTCTGGGGGTTCCTGGAGTTCCTGGGGGAGATGGTGTTCGCTCAGGCCCTCATCTGGCTGACTTGACCCTCCTGTCCCTTCAAATAAACTGTCCCCCGCCTGGCCCAGGGCACACTGCGGCAGAGGAGGCCGAGTCCCCAGACACAACTCCAGGTGGGCATGGCCGAGGACTCCTAACCGACTGCCCAGCCCAGCGCTCACCTCTCCTGCCCCTGTGCGGGGGGGCCCGGGGCCTCCCAGGGTCCTGCGGATATAGTCTCGGGAGCGGATGTCGGCCTGGGGAGAGGGGTGGCTCGAGTGAGGGGTGGTGGCTGGGGTCCTGAGCTGGCCTCTGAACGAGCCCCACCTGCTGTCACTCCCTCCTGAAAAAGCCCAGAAGGTGACCCAGGCCATTGCAGGCCTGGCCTTTGAGACCAGGAGTGACAGTCCCAGGAGTGTGTAGGGGACGGAAAGCCAGGCCCTCTGGTCCAGGTCCTGTGACATCAGGTCCTCCAAGTGTCTGCGTGAACAGCCTGAGGTGGGGGGGTCCTAGGTCCCTCCCAGGTTTCAGCTGGGGCCACTCGCCTTTCGTCAGTTTACAGCTGGTCCTTCCCCGTAGGTTTCGCATGAGCCAGAGGTCCCTCTGCTAAAACCCTCTTCTCCGCAGCTCTCCTCAGCCCAGCTTACCTGTCCTCACTTCTGGGTCACTGTTTGTCTCCCCATGTAGTGTCAGCTGTGGCCCTACCCCTACAGAAATATCTATGAAAAGTTCTGTAAAGTCACTGCAATGATAATAGATGTGGGCCATGGGCTGGAGTCAAGGCAGATCCCAGGGGAGGGACATCTCCGGACCTTGCCGCTGGGCTCTCCCATATGATGACTGCCCATCCGGGGTGCCTGGCCTCAAGGAGGCTTCTGATCCCAGCTCAGATGGGCTTAGCCCCACTTGACTGCACGACTCCACGACACGACAGCTAATTCCCCCAGACCGCCTCTGCCTCAGGGTGAGCAGCCGAGCGGGCGGGGTGGGCAGTGAGGTGTTCTGTGGGAAGGCACCCCGTGAGGGAAGTGAGAGGCGGTGCCTGCCTTCCCCCGCAGTGGCCTGGCCCAGCCTGGCAGGGCAGAGCCCAGGCTTGGCACTGGTGGAAGGACAAGCCTTAGGGCAAGGGGCCCGCTCAGCGGCCTGGGGTGGGGGACCTATGGACAACATGGAGAGGGAGCAGGCACTGACCAGCCCTCTACCCTGCCCTAGACACAGAGTCCGGAGGACAGTATTGACAGACTCCTGGACCCAAGAAGAAAACAGACCAACAGACAGCCGGAGCTGCTAGATAGGGTCGCAATCCCAGAAGTGACAGGGACTGTGGGCTCCTGGGAACAGATGACCGGCATTTCTCTCTCGAGAGTGTAGGCCCAGGAATTCGGCAGTCTTTTCTCCAGGGCTAGACGTACAGGCCCTGCTCGCCTCTGAGATGCCCAAGGCACCTTACAGGCTCTCCCCCCATGGCGACGAGGGGGCCACTGTCTGCTCTGAGGCCAGGTGAGAAGACGAGGGGACAGAGACCTGCCCTGGTCCCTGGCTCTGAGGACTTGGGAAAAGTTCTTGCGTTTTCTCCAAGGTGGCTGGGAATGGAGAAGGAAAGGCCTCCTGGAGCCAGAACACATGTCACAAGCTTGGGAACCCACATACCTCCGAACCCTGGATGGGGAGAAAGGGGGCCGAGGCTGGTGGACACTTAGCGGGTCCATCCCCAGAAGCCACCCTGGAGGCCTTGGCCCTCCGCGGGGTCTGAGAGCTGTGCTGCGTGGCCTGCTGCTGCCACCTGGAGGCCGCCTGCACATCAGCCGCCAGCGTAAGTCCCAGGCCCAGAGGAGGTGGCGGTGGCTACGGGCAGCAGGGTGACAAGGCTCCCTGGGACCTGTGAGGCAGAACCAGGGCCCCGGAACCGGCCACCTGCACTGACATCAGCTGATTCTCCCAGTGGCCCTGGTACCAGACGCAGGAAGCTGAGGAACTGCGGGCAGGAGCACAGCAGACGCCTGGGCCCGGGCAGGGCAGGGCCCCAGGCTGAGCTCCCAGGCCTGCGTCCTCCAGTGCCCTCCTCTCCCAGTAGGGCCCAGTGCAGCCCGACCAGACTGTCCTGCAGGTGCTGGCAGACTTGTCCTCGTGTCACCGTGCCTGCGCCCCAGATGGCCTGCCATGGGCACGGGACGAGCAAGCCTGCGCACTGGCCCACCCACCTGGCGCACGGGCTCCGGGATCCGAAACCTGCAGCAGCTGCGGATGAGACGCACGGCGGCCTCCAGGCTCATCTTGTGGCCCACCGAGACGTAGAGGGGCTTGGTGCTGTGGTCGTGGCTTCTCAGCGCCTGGGACAAAGAAGGTGAGGTCGGGGTGCTGGGGCGACCTCTGTGGCTGGGGGACCTGCAGCACCCTTGGGCACCTTCCTGCTGCCTGCCCTGGGACAGGGTGGGTGAGCATGGACACAAGAGGAAATCAAGGCGCAGGGCACACCGAGGCTGGGCAGAGGGGCAGGAAGAGGGGGAGCCTCGGCCGGCGTCTGGTGCGCACGCATGGGCGCACGCAAGTCCACGGTGCTCGCCGGCACCCTGCTGACTCACCATGCCCAGGACGGCCCCGGAGCCTCCCGTCAGAGGGAACGTGTCTCCTCCAGCCTGCAGCAGGCGTATCTGGGAAACAGGGAAAGCTCAGAAAAGCATCTCTTCTCGGTGGAGCCTGTTTGTCTTTATCAGGCGAGCAGCTGTGGGCGAGGCGGGCCTGATTCCGTGCACGTGCTGCGCCCAGGTGAGGCTGAGCGGCAACAGCTGTGCTCACACCCGTCCTGTGAGTGGACCCCATGTCCAGGGCACAGCCCGTGGCACTGTGCCACGCTGGCCGGCAAACTCAGCTTTCTCCTCCCCACTCTAGGGGAGAGGAGGCAGCAGCCTGCCCAGTGCTGGTGGGTGGAGGCACCAGCTACCCACCAAGCCAGGCTGGTGGATCCTCTGGCCAGTGGGTCCCGACCGAACAGAGACCACTATTTCCTGCCACTTTCTCCACTGCTACGAATTTGGGCACATTTGATTCAACCCAATAAACTTTTATTGGGGGTGGGGACTGGCCCACTTGGTAAGAAACGGGAACGAGACAGACGTGCTCTGTTCTCAGAGTCTGCTGTCCATGAGAGTGCCATCACGTCGCTGCCTCCCTGTGGAGTGGGACTTTGCGGTCCCAGTGCCAGCCACTGCTAAGGAAGTTGGGGCAGAGGGAGACACTGGGACAGGGTGGGCAGAGCACGGCGCAGGGTCCCAAATGGCCCGGCCCAAGCGCCAGAGGCCAACCCCCACGTGGGCAGCACAGCAGCGGGGAGGCTGCACGAGGAGCTCGGAGGGCACCCTGCGAGGGCCCAGCACCCACGGGGAACACACGGGGGGCCCAGGGCAGGGATGAGAACATCGACAGGCAAGGCTACCCCGGAGCTCGGTGCTCTCCGGTGCCTGTCCCCGGGGCTGGCCCGGGCTGGCACTGTCTGGGCCGCGCTCACCTTCTCTCTGTGTAGGGCATTGTTCTCCAGCCCGTCCACCTGCAGGAGTTTCTTGGCCACCCCGATGCTGGGCAGGTCTGTGTGGACACCGAGGTGGCAGGCCACCCCGAAGCCTAAGGGGATGGAGGAGGGAGGGGGGTGGGGAACACTGAGCCATGCAGTCTGGGGATGGCATGGGGACTGGGGACAAACTAGAACCTCAGCGAGTTTCCCCGAGTGAACAGAGGCCTGTCACTGGCCAAGGGCTGGGGCGACAGGACTGCCAGGCTCAGCCTGACCTTGGGTGTGGCCCTGACCTCGCGGGGCTGTCAGGCTGGGCGGAGGACGCCTCTCCCTGAGCACTTAGGCGCCCACTCAGCACACTCGCAGGACCTCGCCCCGTCTCGCCTTTCCTTTCTAGCACCTTCAGCCTCGTCTCTCCTCTGCGGCCACTGTCTGGCTTCTGGATCTCTGTCCACGCCCCCGCCCCAAAATGCAGTGCCTGGGGGCCGGGCGGCCTGCTGGTCCCGAGTGTCCAGGGTGGCGCATGTCCACCCTTTAGTTCTGGACCCAAGGGCTCCCAGAGCAGCAGCTGAGAGGCCCAACGCTCCTCCGCCGGACCCCGGGTTCCGAAGCAGCGCGTCTCCCTCGGGTCCGCCCTGGGCCAAGGCCCCAGCAGTCAGGGCACAGGTTTCCCAGGGCCCACGGGGATGGGAACCCCTGTCTGTTTCCATCTGGTTTGGGCGGGCACCAGCAGGACAGGCCAGCTCAGGTCCAGCCTATGACTTCTGGTGGCGATCTGGTCTAGACTGAACAATGGCGCCTGAGGTGGGCGAAGGGCCTAGGGGGAGGCCATGGGGGCAGGCAGGAACGGGGGTGAAGAGAAGCCGGCGTTCTTTCCTGGTGGGCCCCGACAAGGAAAGCAGGCCCGAGGTGCTGTCAGGCCAGGCTGGAGCACGGTGCAGGCGACCTGCGAGGGCCTGTCGGAAGCGCCCGCCCTGGACCCCTCTCCCATGGCCCTCCTGGGCCCAGTCTCTCGGGAGCAGGATTACCTCGGGGGTGGAGCACCCCATTCCCATCAACGAGAAGAACCTGGAAGAGTCACAGGGAAAGTCGCAGTCATGGCACTGCCCACTGCCCACCGGCGTGGACATCCTGGAGCAGGGAAGGTGGGGCCGCCATGCCGAGGCCAGCTTTTTACAGGCCCACTCCCATCCCTCAGGGTAAAGCGCGGCTTCTCCAGGAAGCTCCTGAGGCCTCTCCCTGCCACGAGTGGCCTCCAGTGGCCCTCGGAGGTACCTGCCTGGGGACTCAGGTGGGGCTCCTTCTCCTGCAGCCGCCGCACTGCGTCCACCAGGAAGGGTCCCTCTCGGAAGGCCAGGAAGCCGGGCACGTAGGGGGCCGTCAGGCTGACCATGCGGCAGTCCTCATACAGCACCTGTCACCAGGCGGCCAGGTCACCGGGCGGGGCACTCCCCGCACGCTGCAGCCCTTCACCCACCAGTCCTCACTGCCAGCTCCCTGTCCCCCTTCTCTGCCTCACCTATCTGGGAAGGAGGCACAAGAAAAGACGAGGCGATCGCCCTGTGAATGTGGCCGGGGAGCCACCTCGCCTGTGCCCGGCCCCCCTCGGGCTGCCGCCTTCTAAGTCAGAGCCGCGGTGGGCTGTGCGGAGGCCCAAAGACGATGAAGCGCCAGCACCGTGTTTAGTGTAACGGGGACAAGGACAGCACCGTCTTACGTTGGAAGAGGCCTCGGGAGGAAAAGGCCAGGTCTCCAGAGAGGCCATCACAAGAAAGGCAGCTCCAGTTCTACGCAAACCGGTTCGAGACAACGCGGAAAAGGGCCGAAGTCACTTCTGGGTTACAGAGAGACTGGGTCCCTAGGGAGAGGAGGTTCCGAAAGGAACGCGCTGAGGCCGCCGGCGTCAGGAAGCCCAGCGAGTGGGGTGTGAAGAGGCCCTGTGCGAACCGGGAGGCGTGGGGGCGCAGGCCTGGAGGTAGGAACCGGCCCGAACGGCGGGCCCAGCCGGCGAGCTTTTCCATGCACTGCTCCCTCCCCACGCGGTTCTGCACGGGCCTCTGGAGCGAGGAGTCCCTGCGCAGCACGGGAGAGGGTGGCCCTGTGCTACGCGATCACAACGGTAAGGGACCTACTCAGAGCACAGGGTCGGCAGCCCTTATCCTAGAGTTTCCATCAGCCGCACTGGCCTGAGGACGTGCGCCCATTCTCCAGATCCCAAATAAAACCCTGCACCCGTCAGTGGTTCCTTCCAGGGGTCCTGCGCCCCAGCGCTCGGCAAGCGCCAATCTGCGCTGTGCCTCCGGGTCCACCTGTGGCATCTGCATCTCAACATTCCCTGGACACTCACTGCACGGAACTCCGGATGGGTGTTTGGGAGCCGCTGGGCGACTCTTCCAGGACCCTTTCCTAGTCTAAGCTTCCACGGCCCAGGGTGACCAAAGGTGACGACGGCCAAGTAGCAGGCCCCTTGCTCGGGGCTGGGGTTACAAAAGGGGTGTGGTATGAGCCTCGAGCTCCGACGATTAGTGAGGACTGTGGTGTGTAGGCCAGTGACTTCGCTATGCCGGGAAAAGAACTGGCACAGCCCACGCACGGGATAAAGGCCTGGGACAGAGAGGAGGGTGGCTAACTGGGTGGCCAGGGAGGTGCCATCCTCAGAACCCCTGGTGGCTAACATGTTCCTGGAGAGCTTGCCGTCGCCCGTTCTGGTAACGGCTTTCTGGGCGTGATCTCCCTCGTGATCACAACTATTGAGTTCCCTGTCTATACTTCGCCCGCCCAGTTAGGAAAGGAGGTCCCAGGAGAGAAGTTGAAGTGGCCGAGCCGAGGTAGGAAGCCACGCGGCCTGGCTACTGAGCCTGTGCCGTTCCTCCTCAGAGCCATCCAACACGCTGGCCAGGGGACCGCCGAGGGCAGGGACCCTGGTTCCTTCACCACCGTGTTCAGACCTCAGCACAGAGCAGACGCTCAGTACATCTTTGCTGACCTGATTGGAGGAGCCTTCCAAGCACAGTGCGAAGGACTGGGGCAGGGAGGTGCCGCCTCTGGGTGCAGAAGGTGGGTGAGGGGGAACTCTGAAGCCACCCAGCAAGGTTTCCTCGGCCCGTTCTTTTTTAGCCAAGGCTTCCTGAGCTGTCGACTCCCAAAGAATCCTGGGCACATCATTCGTTCGTTCGTGTGTCAATCAAGTGTCTTCTACATACCGCGCGCGAAGCTAGGTACCCAGGCTACGACCGGAAGGAACACATCCGGTTCCTTCCACTCTGGTGGGGGGTCGGACAGGCTAATTCCATTCCAGCGTGACCAGAGGAAAGAGGGTGGTGGGAGCAACTTATCTCGTGGGAGGGAATGGGGGGGGCTGCTTACTGGAGGACCTAAGAGAGCTAGGTGAAGAATGTTCCAGGAGATGAAACGCCACTGCAAAGGTCAGGCAGGCAGATGCAGCGTGGTGCGTCTGAGGGACCCAAAGTCCTCAGAGTGGGGAGTGGGTGGTGGTGAGAGCCGAGCCTACAGTGTCACGTTCAGCAGAGGCCTTTGTGCCTTGTTAGTGTGTGTAAACTTTATTTACCGTGACGTCACAGACGTGTTTTAAATGAAGCAGGTGGTGACATGATCGCACTTGCTTTTTAGGAAAATCACTCTGCTGGCAACATGGAGATGGACCCACCAAGGGCAATCCTGGAGGCCGGAGCCCAGCGAAGATTCTGCTGTCACCTCCAGGAGGGGTGACCATGGCACAGCCCGGGAAAAGGCGGCCGGAATGCAGACAAGGAGACTGACTCCAGCGACATTTAGGAGGCAGAAAAACAAAAACGCAGAGCCAGTGTGTGACTGGGCGTGAGGGGTCTGGAAGACAGTGGTTTCCAGCTTGGGCCACTTGAGATGTGTCGCTGCGGGTCTGAGACGGGACCCCAGATGACAGTCGACTTGTGGTAAAGATCATGAGTTCACTCGGACCTAAGTCACGGGGTCTTTAGTTTTTGCTCTCTGTCCTTTCGTTTTTCTCAGACTCCCCAGTCTATTGATGGAACCCTACCGGACACTGTCCCCTGGCCCGGAGCCCCGCCTCACGGAGAGCGGGGTGGCCGCTGGCCGGCGTGCCGCGGGTTACCTCGAGCTCAGGGTAGCTGAGCACCACGAGGGAGGCGCAGGCGCTGACGCTGTCGCCCTTCACAAAGGACACATCCAAACCTCCGACCCTCCGCAGGCCCGAGAAGACGGGGTCCCGCTGCCACGCCTCCGTGTCCCGGTCCACGACGCGCGCCTTCAGCAGGGCTTGCTCCCTGAGGGGACACACACGTCCAGACGCGCCCCGCCGTCCGGCAGCGGCCAGCCCACGTCCAGGCCCGAGGGTGGGGACTCACCCCGGGAACCCCCGTCTCCTCCGACCCAGCCTCCCGCCTCGCCTCCCCGTGC